CGCGCCCCGCCCCCTTGACCCGGCGTCGGCAGGAGGTGCTTCGGGACCGGTAGGCGTGAGTGCCCATGAGCCCCCTGGAAAGCTCTTGGTGGGTCGCTCTTACGAGAGGTGAGGAGGGCTTGACGCGGGGGGCCCCAGCACCCGGTGAGCAGCGCCCTAAAGTAGGCCGGAGCTCGCCCTCAGTGCCGCCGCTGTCCCGCCCACACACGCACCCCGCCTCCAGCCTGAGGCCAGTCCTTGGGTATTGACCAATGGGAACACGGACTTTTCACAAGCCCTGCTGGGGAGCAGCCACTGAGAGCGCGCTACACAGTGGGCGTGGCCTATGGCCGGAGTGGGTGTGGCCTCCAGACAAGCTAGCCCCTTGATCCTTGAGCGACAGCAACGTGAACCTTTCGCTAGCGCCGCCGCGGAGCAGCCAATGGGAGCGCGCTCAGGCCCGCCGCGGGCCTGGCTGGTGGGCGGGGCCGCGGCGGGCGCACGCTCCCTGCTTGTCCTGCGGCTCTGCGCTGCTGATCGTGGGCAGAGGAGCTCGTCGGAGTCCACAGAATTGGTGGTCCGGGCCTCTCTGGGCTCCCGCTGGGGCGCTCGAAAGAAAAGCGAGCAACTGGAGTAGAACGTGGCTGTCTTCGTTGGGATATGGGTTCCAGCGGAGTCCGATCCTAACTGCCCGTGATGTTTTAAAGTTGGTGACAGGAGTCCCCGTGCACCCCCACCCCCACCCCCAGTACAAAACACAAGGGTCTGCAACATCCATCCACTCGTGCTTGGTGCCCGGGGTCAGCTCCTACCCTCACGAGTCGTGTATTGCCCTGCCCTAATCATGATTGAGCCCATGTTGTAGCCATTGTGTCCATCCATCTCTTTGAGGATCCGCCTCTTTCTCACTGACCCAATATTTTATCAAGCGTGATGTTTTTTTTCCAAGAACTGGCCCCTCCCTCCTTGTCAAAAGCGCATGAGACGAAGTCTCCCGATCCTCGCTTCTAAGGAGCATTCTGGTAGTACTTCCTTCAAGACGGATGTTTCTTCTTCTGTCCGTCTGTTCTGACTGCCACTGAGTCTGCCTCTGGGTTTTTGAGACTCTTTGTGGGAGTAGAGAGCCTTCCCCCTCAGAGGGGCTGGTGGTTAGCAGTCCCATGCATAACCACTGTGCCACCAGGGCTCTCTCTGGCAGTCCATGGCATTCTCAGTCTTCTTTGCCAGCACCATAATTCAAATGCATCCATTCGTTGGTGGTCCTCACTCATTGTCCAGCTTCTATACTCATTGTAGGGGATTGAAAAGCCTACGCACAATTTTGATCAGTCACACCAGTTGGAGCTCTGAATTTTTCTATTTGTCCTCAAAGTGACCTCCCAGCTCTGTAGCATGTTTAGAGTCTCACATGGAATCAATTCCAATTCTTGAGACCCTGTAGGACAGGGTGGAACTGCCCCTGCGGGTTTCCAGGACTGACTCTTTACAGGAGTAGAAAGTCTCATCTTTCTCCTGAGGAGCAGCTCAGAGTAGTTTTGAACTGCTGCCCCTGTGATTAGCAGTCCCATGTGTAACACTAGACAGCCAGGGCTCCTTTTCGTCCATGGGAGAGAGGTTGCTTGATGACCACCCCCGCCCAGGGTGCTGGGGAGCAAAGCACAAAGCTAAGAGGACAATGACGAAAGCTCCATTGCTTGGTGCTAGATGGAAGGATGAACCGGTCCCATGACAGGGCAGGGCTTGAATTTGGGTGTGTGTGTGTGGAGACCTGCATTATTAGGCTGGATGCCTGAGGGTGGGGCATAAGGGTGAGGAGCTGGTAGTCCAGTAGTTGGAAAGCTTGTGTAGGAGTTGGGATCTGCTCTGGGCCATCCGAACCTCTCCAGAGGAGCAACTGGGGAGCCCAGGCTGGGGAAAGGGGGCCAGAGTGGGTGGAGGGAGAGGGAGGTGTAAAGACAAAGTGGAAAGGGGGAGGGGACCAATTACAAGACTCTGATGGGGCACTGGTGACTGCTCAGGTGCTCTGTGGACACCAACAGGAGCAAGGAGAGAAGGAGGCAGGGGCAGAGACCACTGTGGGGTCCAGGCAAGGCAGCAGGGGTGCCAACAAGATATGTGTGATGGATGCAGGACTACAGAGCTCCTGGTCTGTGGTCCTGGGGGGTGGGGAGGAGCTGAGGGAGCATCAGGGCAGGGCTCTGGGGTGGGCTGGAGTGCAAGCTGGTGGTCAGCAGCATCTTGGTGGACTGGGTAGGGTCACCAGCCAGGGGGCAAGTAAGAAGGTGGTCAAGAGCAGAGTCCCAGAAGGTAGGGCTGGAGGAGGACGGGGAGAGAAGCAGCATTGGGGGTGGGGGTGGGGGTGGGACGGCACCACACCCTCCAGGAGTCTGAGGAGCTGAGCCTTGTACCGTCACCATTGGCAATACCACCATGGAATCCGCGGACCCAGCTCTGTACCAAGAGACGACACCTTCAAGTTCACTTGACACGAGAGGTGGGTGCTCCGAGCAATGTCACACCAACAGGGCTTAACTTTCACTTTTATTTTACTGCTGCTTTGTTGAAAAATGGCAGTCTTTTGAAGTGAGGGCAAAAACACTCATTTTCCTTTAGGAGGTGGTCTTCTGCTAATTGCTGTTTTGTTAGGTGCCCTGGGGTGGACTGATGTTTAGTCATCCACTGACATTGGGTCATTTGTCCCTGTGGTAATTATATAGTCTGGTGTCCACTTGAGACTACTAAGAGTGAAGGGGTGGTTTAGCCTGCCAATCAGGGCCCAGCTTGATGACCTCATTTTTGAGGCGCTATGGAGATAAATAGCTTACTCTCTCTGCATCTTCCTGCTGACAAGACACATGGAGCTATGCTGATGGAACTAGCGCCCTGGAGCTGGAGGAGCCACGAGGAGACTCACGCCAGCATTGAGATGCTACCACCATCACTGGATCCACAAAATCTCCCACTCACTGGCCTGTGATCTGCACTCGGCATTATTGCATGTGTTTCGTGAGTCTAAAGAGGAATTTATAGATTGGTATCAGACATATGGGCTAATACCTGACTTGCTGCTTGCATACCCACGCCGGATGTGCTGGGGGTGGGGGCAGCTGGACTCGGCGGAGGAAGGCTGTTCCACAATGAAAAGCAGCAATGAGTTACTCAGCAATGGAACGCCGGGTGCCAGGCCCTGACAGATAGTGCTGACTCTTGGTGACGCTGTGTGTTCTTGGCAGAACTGCCCCACATGGTTCTCAGGCTGTGAACTTTCAGACGCAGGTTGCCAGGGCTGTCTACCTGGTGCCTCTGCTTAGGTCCCGATTTCCAGTGTCACCTTAGTCGGCAAGTGTGTACTAAATGAGTGCTGCCCTCTCAGGACACCTTCACTGCCGTGATGTCGCCATGTGTGCCAACTGGGCAGTGTGATTTTTCTCTTTTCATGGTCGGACTGCTGAGACACGAGGAGACCACTCGCAGTCTTCAGCCAGGGCGGGAGGAGGCAGCTGGGAGAACAGAGCTTGCTGAGCGGGTGGCACTCGCTCCTCTCTACGTGTGGATGACACACGGATAGGGCCAGATTTTCACACAGTCTAGCCACCTACCGTCTTTCTAAATCCCCACCAAGCTGGAAAAGAACTGTTCATCTTACGCATGTGAAACAAAACCGGAGAGGGCGGAGGGGCTGAGGGGCAGGTGGTTCCTCCGTACAAAATGACTGATTCAGACTTCAGCCACTGGAGATGCTTAACGTGCCAAGCGCGGGCCGTTTCAAGTTCAGATGTAGCTGCAAACCCGGTCTCTGCTGCGTTCCATCGGTAGCACTCAGCATCTCTGCCTCACAACCAGATGCAGCGAGGACACCCTGGGCTGCATGTCCTCAGGACTGGCCAGGAGGAGGGGCTGAGAGCCTGAGGCCCTCATCCCGGTGACCTAGTGCACGATGAAGGTGATGCAGGCGCCAAGAATACCTGCCGCTCCTCAGAAAGATGAGCAGATGAAGACGGAGCGAGGGGCCTCCCTGCGCTCTCCCAAATCCCGGGGGTGCAGGTGTTCATTGCTTGTGGGGCTCCGTCCCCATCTCTGTCGGCCTTGATGGCCCTCTGCCCGCTGCTTCTCCCCGTCTCTCCTCTTCTGTCCTGAAGACCCTGGTCAAGGGATGCAGGGCCCACCTTGATAACCCAGACACCTTTCCAGGTGAGGGCACCGTCCCAATTCTGGGGACCAGGGGTCAGGATGAGAACACAACCTCTGGGTTCACCTTTGCTCCAGGGAGGCAGTGCTGGAGATGGAAACCGACGGCCCGTCTCCTTGACCAGGGAGACTAGGCACTCAGAGCTCTCCTCCAGCCAACACGGCGGTGCCAGGTGAGGGGGCCCTGGCATAGTTCCAGTCACAGAATCCCAGGGGCAGCTCTAGTCCCATCGAGTCCCTGTGAGTCAAACGGACTCCAGGCAGCCTGGCAGCGTGGCGTCTTTCGCAGGGTGCTGCTGCCCTCGTCTGGTCGTATGGGGAACAGCAGCTCCAGGCCCATCTTGGCGACCAGCGGACCCTGAGGGCTGGGGTCAGTGGAGTGGTTTGAGTGAGGTTGTCCCACTGACACCCCCAAGCCTCCAGGAGGTGCAGAGCACCTTGTGGCCAGATCCTGCACCCCAACACCGTGCCCACACAACCTCTTCACAACCTGTTCCCATCTCGGGGCAGAAGCTGGGAGTGCAGTGGGGTGGGGTAGGAGGCCGGGAAGTGTCCCCAGTCCATGAGACTGCATGCAGGGTCAGAACTGGCTGCTGCTTCTTCTGAGGGGCTCTGTGATGGGGGAGCCACCGTTTCAGACCCTTCCACCTGTGGCTTTGAAGTTCGAGGATGTGCTTCTCCCCTCTGCCAGGGCTCGAGTCAGCCTAAGGACTGTTCAGACCCAGCCCTAGCCCTTGGCCTTGGCTTCGAAGCTCCTGAGGGCCAGCCTGTGCAGAGCTGAAGTTATCAGGTGGGTGCAGGGGGTCCTAGGCGGTGGGGGCTCACCCCAGGGGAGTCCCCGGGGTGTGGACGTGGGAGAGGATGCAGGGACGAGGGTGGGGGTATTATAGGAGAGGGGGAGATGGCCCTGGGGGAAGGTGGGTGCTTTCTGGGGTAGCCCCCTGGGGAGGAGGCAATTGCCCACAGCCCTCTACCCTACCTACCACTATCCTAGCTGACTCTCAGAGCCCAATCTGTCCCCTAGGGTTGTGAGGGTGGGAATGGGGGCTCTGCCTGCTCCCTGTTCAGCTCTTGGGGCACTGGTGGTGGTGGTGAGGCAAGGATTGGGTGTCCTAGTATGACAGACAGGGAGCTGGGAACCCCATGTGCCTCAATCTGGACACCCTGCCCCCACTGGGTTCTGCTGTCCATCCCTGCCCCTCGACTAACGTGGAGAGGGTATGTTAGTCTGACCTGACCAGAGAAACAAATCCATAGACACTCGTGTGTAAGAGAGAACGTTATATCAAAGAATAATTGTATATTAAGAAAACATCCCATCAGCCCCAACCCCAACTACGTGGAAACCCCCGCCCCCAGAAGAATGCACTTCAGAGGACGGCACTGAAGCGACATCTTGGACAAGAGCGTGTCTGATCGGAGCGCACAGGAGCAAAGGAAGAGGGAAGGAGAGGGAGGGGAGCACATCCTGGCCCACCACGCCCAAGGACGCTATTCCTGCACAGAGCAGACTGTACAGAGAGGACCATAGGGCAGGCCCCACCATGAGACACAATGTCCTTCACTGAACCACACCGGAGACACATTGCGGGAATTGTGCCCACTCTGACCCCATCACACTAGGGCAAAACACTAAGGGCATGCAAAAGCAGCAAGGGGAGCAAAGTGATGAAGTCCCTGGAGGATACAAAAATTAGACTTTGGGGCCAGAGTAGCACCCCATCAGACTTGACTGGAAAACATTCCTAAAGGTCAGCAAATAGACCTGGAACTATTTATAGGCTTTTCGTTTTTCGTCATTGCTTTTTGTTGGTGTTTTGCTTGTCTCTGCGTGTCTAGCTAGATAAGATAGGGAGGATAAACAATCTAGAGGAGAAAATGGGACCGATAGTCCGGGAGGCAGGGGAAAGGAAGTGGGTGTTAAACCCAGGGACAAGGGAACAAGTGATCTAAAATCAATGGTGAGGAGGGTGTAGGAGGCCTGGTAGGGCTTGATCTAGGACAATGTAGCTGAGAGGAATTACTGAAACCCAAATGAAGGTCGAACATGATGGTGGGACAAGAGGAAAGTAAAAGGACGTAGAGGATATAACGATAGGGAAATAGATCTATGTACATATATTTATATGTAAGTATTAAGGCAGCAGACAGACATTGGGCCTCTACTCAAGTACCCCCTCAATGCAAGAACACTTTGTTCTAATAACCTGGCATTCTGTGATGCTCACCTTCCCAACACAATCACTGAAGACAAGATGGGTACATAAGCAAATGTGGTGAAGAAAGCTGATGGTGCCTGGCTAGCAAAAGATATAGCGTCTGGGGTCTTAAAGGCTTGAAGCTAAACAAGTGACCATCTAGCTGAGAAGCAATAAAACCCGTATAGAAGAAGCACATCAGCCTGTGTGATCATGAGGTGCCAATTGGATCAGGTATCAGGCATCAAAGACCCAGAACAGAAAATCATATCAAAGTGAGTAAGTGGGGAGCATGGAGCGGAGCCCCAAAGCCCATCTGTAGATAACTGGACATCCTCTTATAGAAGGGTCGTGGGGGAGGAGATGAGCCAGTCAGGGTGCAATATAGCCCCGATGAAACATACAATTTTCCTCTGGTTCTTTAATCCTTCCTCCACCCCACTGTCATGACCCCAATTCTACCTTAAAGTCCGCCTAGAGTAGAGCATGTACACTGGTATAGATCAGAGCTGGAAACACAGGGAATCCAGGGCAGATTATCCCCCTCAGGACCAATAATGAGAGTAGTGATACCAGGAGGGGAAGGTGGGGGAAGAAAGGGGGAACCGATCACAGTGATGTACATATAATTCCTTTCCAGGGAGACAGGCAATAGAAACGTGGGTGAAGGGAGACAGTGGTTGGTGTAAGACAAAAAAAAATTATGGGGGAAGGGGGGTGGGGGAGGGGGGAAATGAGGAGGTGATATCAAAGGCTCAAGTAGAAAATGTTTTGAAAATGCTGGCAACAAATGTACAAATATGCTTGACACAATGGATGGGTGTATGGATTGTGATAATGGCTGTAAGAGCCCCCAATAAAATGATTAAAAAACCCCTAGCCTAGTCCAGCTCAAGGCCATAAGTCTGATGTCTGATACCAGTCTGTAAATTCCTCCTCAGACTTGTGCAACATGTGCAATGATACCCAAATGCAGGAAGATCACAGGCCAGTGGGTGGAAAGTCTTATGGAAGCATCTCAGCGCTGGCGTGGGTCTCCACGTGGCTCCTCCAGCTCCAGGGCTCTGGCTTCATCAGCGTAGCTCCACGTGGCTTGCCAATAGGAATGTCCCACAGGGCGAAAAGGTGTGTCCTGCCTTCAGGGAGGAAGACTTCCCAGACTCCTCAGAAGGCCAGGCCCACACAGAGGCATCTTTGGCTATGACCTGACTGATGGACTACAGTCCACCCCTTCCTCAAGTTGACCAATTACGCGACTGCCACAGGCCACTCCTTGCTACCTTGACACTTGTACACAACTCTTTAGCCATATTATGGTTTTTTAAACAAAAAAATAATGCACTCTTCTCTGTACCTAACAGGATAAAACTCAGATGCACACAATTTAATATATGCCAAAGCCT